ATCCACTAATCTAACCTACTCACGTTTAATTGGTAAGCAAAATTTGTAGAAGACTTGGTAAGAATAGCAATGAAGGAGGCATAATGAGAATCACCCTTGATAGATTCACATATTAATAGGGTGTAATATGGTTTAGGGCATGCAGTTCTGTGACAGATGAACGAGTGAATCATTGTTACAAGAAGGTAGTTAATAACCACCTACATTGTCATGTCTAGGGATGGTCCTCTTTCACCAACATTTTCAATACATACTTTACCTTTCATTTTCATTGAGCTGTTGTTGGTATCCCCAATGATTAGGTACCTAATTTTGGGATTGGGTTGGGGAGGGGAGGGGAGGAGAGGACTGGGTGTATCCACATTTGTTTCTCTTTCCTCCTTGCCAATATTATTCTCTATTTTAAAATTGTATAATTGAATGTGTGGGTCTTGACACGCCTCTAAAGTTGTTACATTGTGACTCTAAATGTCATGGTTTTAAGTCATAAAAATAATTTGTGTACGTTTGATTTGTTTTTTTATATCAGTATAACAAAAGCCTCGTGTTTTAGGTTAGGCATTAATTTATGGTTGCACTTCAAGAGTATTCAACCTCTCAACAAAAAAACTAGCACCAAAACTAAATTGTCTCCATCACATATTTTTTAAAACTAAGCAATGCACTATGTGCGTAGCACGTAAAAGTTTTTGTTAAAATATTTGATAACAAACATAAAAATCTAATTATATAGCTAAATTAGATATCATCTCATTTATCATATTTAAATTATTTGTATTTTCTTCATAACTACAAACATGAAATAAACTCATTTTTGTGATTATGTTATTCAAGTTAGCAAGTAGGAAGGGTTATAGAATTTTCTTTTATCGATTCTTTTTCCTTTCGTCTTTCTTGTTTTTACTTAAATTATTTAGATTGTGGATGAAGAGAAAAAGATGCATATATCGGTTTTAGGGCAGTAGAAATGTTGTTATGTCAATGAAGTAGTTGACACATATTAATATAAAAGTTTTGGGAAAATAAATAATAGCTTTATTTATATATATATTTTTTCAAGTATAACATGATGATTTAAAAGTTTTACAAAGATAAAGAGATTTACATCAAATGTTAGAGATTAGTTTATTATTTAAGTACAAAATGATATAATACTAATTTACGTATTTAAATTCAAATGAACATGCATGTTAGTCTTTATAGTTTCTTATAAGGCAAAATAATAAATTAAAATTTTTTATATTAAGATATTTTTATTAATAGTATAAATAAATATATAAATTTATAACTAAAACACAATCTTACAGTTAACTCGCATTAATCAGGTTAATTGGGTCAATAATCAAACTTTAGAATTCGAGACAATAACTCAAAGAAATACTTGGTTAACCATCAACTCATAACCACCACAGCCACCAAATTTATGCTTTTTGAGCTAAGACCAGTCTATTGGTCTTATTTTATATTTAAGTAGGGTAATTCGTGTTTAAATGTATGGTGCAATATGAATGGTTATATAAAAAATATTGGTGGCCGTTAAATAAGTCTATTTAAAATTATCAAATAAACTTATTGAAGTCTGATCTATTTTATATTATAAATATATTGATTATACAACCTCTGATGTCATCGTTAATAATAAATTTATAAGTAGGCAAGAGCCACAAGATACGTGAAACCCACTTCTTTATATAAGATAGTTAATTTTGAGAAATATTATGGTGCCTAAATTAAAACTCAAATCTTCCAACTTAAGTATATATACATCACACACTAAATAAAAAAAATTAATTTTTTGGGACCCACAAAATAATATGTGTGGTATACATACATTTAGGATGAGAAATTTGAGTTTTAATTTAAGTATCTTAGCAATATCCGTTATTTTTTAGCAATGATAATAATAGTTACTAAATCGCGTGAAAAGCTCACTTGCAAACTCGTAGATTAAGTAATAAATAGTGACACCATGTAATAGTAGTAGTGATGACTTATTATTATATTCAATACTTTCAATTAAAAAATATTAAATAGACTTAAAATTTTGGTTTAAAAATTAAATTAAATTAATTATTATAATTAAATAAATAATGAGTACCGATAAATACAAGTAAAGTGGCGTTTTTGATCCGCCAATCTTACCACCACCAAAACTGTGGCTGCTCCCCCTTTTCCATCAAAAACCAACAACTACTTTCGTTGATTAGTCGTCGTCCTTTCCCTCTGCAGTGTCAATTTTTCAAAATCTTTGGGCTTCAATGTCTTCTTTTTCTTTGATCAAAATTTCACCCCCCATGCTACATGGGAAACATGTTTTTTTTTTATCTACAATTGATCAATCACCAACCATGAATTCAAGTAAGATTCATAATGTGTATGTAGATACCTCTATTTTGAGAAATTTTGATTTTTTACTAGTAAACAATGAGCGATCTATCATTAAATAAAGTTGAAAAAGATAAAAAAAACTGTATTGAACCGGATTCAAGATGTGAGACGTTGATAAAAAATTGTTTAAGAGGCCAAGTATTTTAATTACCATCGATGAGTTTTGGACCCCTAACTTCTCATTTTTCATAAAGATATCATACCAGCATTTAGTCAATTGTGTTATACCGGTTCTCGCTAGGATGATCAAAATCTCGAATACCCGTATCTTGGAATTCTGTGAAAACCTTTAGCTGATTCTTTTCTTCTATTTTTTTTTGGTATACAACAAAAATTCATTCATTAGTTAAAAATAACAATCTCATCTTGCAGGATGGGCATCAAGAAATCTGGTGCCTCATCTCACCATACAGTACACTCACAATAAAGAACTAGCATATTTAACTAAAATATGCGCTGCTCGATTATCCGAACATCTTATCCACGAGATAGAGAATTGATTGATTCGATCTACAGTATTGTGAATTTAATCTAAAAAATGTTCATTATTTCGCAATTTCGCAAATTGATCTGTAGCAATGTGAAAATCTTTAGTTGATTCTTATCTACCCTAATTTCTGAAGAAAATTTTGCCCCCTTGGTGGCAAATCTGAACTATATATCCTTGAAAATTCATAATCAACAAGGCACAGTCCAACCCCATTGCCAACCATATCTACCCTTTCAATCCAATGAGAATCAAAAGCACCAATATTCTTTATATTGAAGTGAAGAAAGAAACCATCCTGGCTTAATGACTCCCGATAAAAAAAATTATATTCAAACTTAATGACAACTTACTCATATCTAATTCTGATTATTTTGGGATTTCACTAAAGAAAATGAACTTTTTGAAGGATTTGGTAATTATTATGATGCACCCAAGGAGTTCTAAGTCTCAACTATGACAGATATGATGACGTTTACTTAGACGGGTTTGCCCAAAGCCAATTGTTTGTAAAATTAGAGTGAGTGAACCACCCTAGCCTACCTTAGTTGGCCAAATTTGTCTTTTTAATGTTGGAGATTAGGAAGTCAATTCTTGCTAGAGGTATGTATTAATTTCTCATGTTTTTTTGGGGGTGTAGCTCTGTTTTTTTTTTGTTAAGGGTGTTCAGATCAGATTATGCGCATTTCGACTAATTCTTTCTTTGATTCGATTAAAGACAGGTCATTCACACTTAGATTAGATTATTCATGACTAATTCCTTCACTGATCTGGTTACAGGTAGACCATCTATACTAAAATTAGGGTATTCATAAAAAATAAATCTCCCATAGTCTAACCTCAAGGAATTGTCACAAACTCAAAACATCTAAGTTTACAATTCGTTTCTGTTAACACTTGAACTACCTCTTGAAGTTTTGGGAGCTTTATTATATCAATAATTTTTTGATCATAATAGTTCGGGATATTACTCAGACGGGATGAATAAGTTGAGACAAAAATCCTAACTCAACTTGAATTTGCCATGAATTCAGATTCAACCTGAACTTTTTCATTCTAAGTATTGTTCATATTTAAGTTTTTGAACTTTGTTTCAATTCGACTACGAAATCGGATTACATAATTTGATGTGAAGATAAATGAACTATTTGAGGTTGGGTTAAATTTGAGTCCCCAAGACTAAAGAATCCAACTTTTTTTTTTTTCTAACTAATGCCAACCTAAATATTGACAAATTCTAATCAAGTACCAAATATTACGGTATGAATTTGGATTGATACAATACTTAAATATGAACAATACTTACATATTGATCCTTCTGTTAGTTTGAACCCTTAACTGGGATAATTCAATATAGAAAACAATGTATATCTTATAGGGGGGGGGGGGGGGATCTCCCTTGGTTGCTTGAAAGATATAAGTTTTTTTCTTTTTTGTATCTTAAAAAATGATTGTTTTTTATATTGTATCAATAATGTATTAAAAATATTATAATATAATCTTTTAATTATTTATTCTATCAAAATCCACCGCATTGAAATTGACAGAATAAGTAACGAGAATTAACAGAAGAGTTATATTACATTACTTTTAATATATTGAGGGTATAATATAAAAAATTTAATTTTTAAGGGTTCAAACTAAATTTTTTAAATCTTTGCAATTCGCCTCTATATATATGTCCCATTACTTCTCTTATATGTAGTGAGAGAATTCAATTCATTACTCTCCTATGAACAAAAGGAATTTATAGACATATCACCATCTCTCTCTCTCTCTCTCAACCTCTCTCTCAACCTCTCTATCTGTTGAATGAATGCTGATTTATCCCCTTACCCTTCGCTCTTCTCTCCGGTTATTCCTCCATTGAACACTACAGAATATCAAGCAAAACTTACTCTCACAACTGGATAAGAATTCTCACAATCCACTCCACCAATCCAGGGATTCCCCCCATGCCCAATCTCTCTGTAGATAAGATAGAACTTTATCAACACGTTCCTTTTACCAAATGGGTTTTCTAAATTCTTGTTGTTTCTCAAAAACTTAACCGGTTTTGAATTACACAACTCAAACCCATATCTGATTATATTTTCTGTTAGCTGTTATGGATTATTTGAGAGAGATGGAGGGTAAAAGAGCCAATGATCGTCGTTCAACTGAGAAGTCTCCGAGATGTGTATGGGTTCCCGGACCGGTCATCGTCGGAGCCGGACCGTCAGGGCTCGCCGCAGCAGCTTGCTTGAAAGGGAAAGGGGTACCAAGTGTAATTTTAGAAAGAGCAAACTGTATAGCTTCGTTATGGCAGCTGAAGACTTATGATCGTCTTCGTCTTCATTTACCGAAGCAATTCTGTGAGCTTCCTCTCATGCCCTTCCCGGAAAAATTTCCGACTTACCCTACAAAGCAACAGTTCATTGGGTACTTAGAAACATACGCGAGGAGATTTGATATTAAGCCTGTGTTTAATGAAACTGTGGAGTGTGCTAAGTACGATCGTAGTCTCGGGTGGTGGCGCGTGAGGTGTGTTGGGATGAAGGAGGAGACGGAGTACGTGTGCCGGTGGTTGGTGGTGGCGACGGGGGAGAATGCGGAGGCGGTGGAGCCAGAGATTGAAGGAGTAGAGGAGTTTAGAGGGACAATAGTGCATACGAGTTCGTATAAGAGTGGTGATGCTTTTGAAGGAAAGAGAGTTTTGGTGGTGGGATGTGGAAATTCAGGAATGGAGGTGTGTTTGGATCTCTGCAATCATAATGCTCAGCCTTCCCTTGTCGTCAGAGATACAGTAAGAACCACTTTGACTCTCTCTCTCTCTCTCTCTCTCTCTCTCTCTCTCTCTCTCTCTCTCTCTCTCTCTCTCTCTCTCTCTCTCTCTCCACATATTAAAGCAAAACCCTTTGAAGATTTTTTAAGTTTTTGTCTCCCAATCTTTGAATTTCCATTTTAATAACCAAAAGCTTTTAGTTTCATTTTTATCTCAAAACTCACTAGATAAAAAGAAGCAACGAGCTGGGATTTTCTCAGATTTTGCTTTTCTGAAAATAATATATATATATATATATATATATATATATATATGTGAGTGCATATTTGGAAGTATTGATTATTCGGTAATAAACATAAATAAAAAATGGTAATTTGGAGGTATGTTGGATCTCTGCAATCAGAATGCTCGCCCTTCCCTTGTCGTCAGAGACACAATAGAACCACTTTGACTTTTCCTCTCTCTCTGTGTGCATCCATAAAGCAAAACCCTTCGAAGATTTTTAGGTTTTTGCCCCTCCAATCTTTGAATTTCCAATATAATAAGCAAAAGTTTCAGTTTCTAACTTTACCACAAAATTCACCAGGTAAAAAGAAAGAACTAGCTGGGATTTTCTCAGATTTTTTTTCTTCTGAAAATAGGTAGAATATGTGTATATGAGAGTTTATATTTGGAAGTATTGATTATATGGTTATAGACACAAATAAAAAAAAAATTGTATTCTACAACTTTTTTTTTTTATTCTGAATGTTCTCGTTTTAACTAGATCTTTTGACAACCCATGCAAACCCTAGATCAGGTTCCTTCATGGTTTTTTTTCTTTCTTAATTTTGATCAAGGAAATAGAAAATATGTTTCTTCTCATAAATTTTGTTGAAACCTACTTTTTTTTTTTTCAACGGTTAGGGTTATCCGAATTATTTTATTTACATCTCAACTAATTTCTTCTCCGATCTGATTAAAAGTAGATCATTTATACCAAAATTAGGATATTTATGAGGGATAAATTCTTGTAACTTGTCATAGTTTTAGTAATTGTTTGTGTTCATGAGTTCCATTCCAACTTCCAAGTTACCAACAGTTTATTCCAACTTTAAAGTTCATGAAAAGTAATGAATCTATTTGTTTGAGAAAAAAAAAGGAAATAATAATCACTTTATTGGGGTTCCCAAGCATGCGCAAAATTGGTCAAAAACTTAGGATTTCATTTCATAATCATACACATATGTTATGGAGCTTTGAAGGCAACCAGCCAGGCCTCCCAAGGACTAGGTGGGTCGTGCCGTGTGGCTGTATGGAGTGTACGAATGTAATAGAACGGCATCGAGCAATACCGGAGAAGTGTTAGATTGAAAAAGAAACTAAACATAACACGAGATATTGGACATTCTTGTAATACCACAACATTGATTATGGGGAAATACGTCGCGATTAGACAACAATAACTCGGGCGACATGGTTGAGTCATCCAAGACATCTCAAACAACTTGGAGTCAACTATGAACGGAGAGAGTCATGGTTTACATGTTGTATCTAGGTCTCAGAAAGAATGTTTGCTTTCATGCACATTAACTGATCTCTTAGGTTTCTTTTTGTTAGTGTCCATCTTTTTAAACCCTTCTTTTCGTGACCCTTTTTCGTGTTGATCAAACTAGGTGCACCTCCTACCACGAGAGATGCTGGGAACTTCAACTTTCGGATTGTCCATGTGTCTGCTCAAATGGCTGCCCATGCGCCTTGTTGATCGCCTCCTATTGATCGTGTCGTGGCTAATGCTCGGAGACACCACAAGATTTGGCCTCAACCGGCCTCGACTGGGGCCACTTGAGCTGAAGAACTTGACCGGAAAGACACCGGTGCTGGATGTTGGGACACTGTCCAAAATCAAAAGTGGAGACATCAAGGTACAATTGTCTATCAATTCAAATTGCAAAATCACATTAACTTTTTTTTAACTTTGCTTTAACCCTTTTGTGGTGTTAGATGGATCCCATAGTTAGCATTATTAATGATTGCACTAGTGGATTTGATGGCCAGGGGGGGTCAATTCTCTTGTTTCCCCATGAATTTACTATGTTTTTTCCCCTTATAATTTGATTTACTCCATAATTCAAATTCTTGTGTATATGACAATGTTGACGATAAAACTAACAAATTGGTTTAGTTTGATTTGATAATGCTTTATTTAAGTTCTTTCTTGCTTGTAGTTCTTTTATATATTATGTATTTTAGATTTTATTTACTTGTTTCTTTTTGGTTTACTATGCAAATTAAGACGATTAGCTTAGCTATGTATTTCTTACAAAATGCTAGATTTATTGCTTTGGATGTAGATATATCCAGGCATTCGGCGATTAGAGCGTTACACCGTCGAATTTGCGAATGGGAGAAGAGAAATTTTTGATGCAATCATTTTAGCAACTGGTTACAAAAGCAATGTGCCATCTTGGCTAACGGTACCTTTTTGCTTTACTTTTTTTCCTTTTTAAGTTATCTTTGTTCTTTAGGGTGCAACATTTTTGCAAATTCAAGTGACTCAAAAGAGCTTAATTTGTCTCCCCAGGAGAGCAAAATGTTTTCGGAGAAAGATGGGCTACCTCGAAGACCTTTTCCGAATGGTTGGAAAGGAGAGGATGGTCTATACGCGGTGGGGTTCACTAAGCGAGGCCTGCTTGGTGCATCCATGGATGCTAAAAGAGTCGCGGAGGACATTAAATTGTGTTGGAAAGACGAGGCAAAGCATTTCACTCCCTTTTCTTCCTCCTTTTCGTCGCAATCATAGGTACTGTTTTCGGTTAGAAACTAGAGGTTTGTTTGAAGAGGACATGATTGGAACGTTTTGGTGGTACGATTGGCACAATGGTGGTAACATAACAAGAAGTTGCTCATCCAATTGAAGAAAAGGAGAAAAGTGAAGACAATTACATCAGTCATCCCCACCTTGCCATTGACGCCAGAACAGGGAAAGGCAGGACTTGAGAGAGAAAAAGAAGACAGATGGTATTTTTTTTGTGGGGGACCTTAGTCATCTAATGTATCTGTACATTTTGTACATTGCCAATTTTTTCTAATTAGTAGGTGTGACTTAGAGATAGATAGAAAGAGAGAGAGAAAGAGAGAGAGAGAGAGCTACAGGCAAGTCGTAGGGTGTTTGGGTTTTGCTAACTGTTTTGAGTGTGAATCTAGACGGGTTTGGATTGACGGTATAACAATCTGACCTTTGTTTTTTTTTTCAAGCAACGCGTGTTGAGAATTTTGGGATGTTTTGTGAAGGTGACTTCAAATATCGATCACAATTTCTACTACATTCTGATGGAGAAGCTTTCGTACCAAATTTTATCACTTCTTGCACTTATTGTTCTTGAGATGATTTCATTTCCAAGTTGTTGCTAGGACCACTACTTGCAACAAATTAAATGTGTGGGATTGCAAAGAATGTTCTCGGCCGGTATTAATGGAGAAATTATGTCAAACACAACCTTTTCCGACAAATTAGAAAAAATTAATCCAGTGCTTTTGATATCCAAATTCGATCATAGACATTTTTCAACACGAACCAATATGTAACATAACCCGTTAACACGAATAATCAATAGATTAGATTAATGTCAAACATGAACAACATAAAATTGATTTAAGTAGTATTAATTATAAGAATAAAAAGTTAATTTTTTATTATATTTTATCAAAAAATGAATTAATTCTTGTAAAAAAAATATTTTGTACTTATTTTTATTATTATATTTATTAAATTAATTTTTAATTTATAAAAAAAATATGAGCATATGTTCGATTAATTGATAGTTAAATTTTAGATATAAAATTGAGCATTAAATTTGTATTCATGGGTTATAGAGGTCAATATGAACACGATACAAAAATAAATAGATCGACATAACATTCCATTATTAGTTAAACGAGTTGGATTGAAATTGATTAGTGTTCGATACAAACCCGAAATGATCTGACACAAATACTACACAACAATCGTGTCGCCCCCAAGTTATTTAAGTTTAAAAAGTTTGTTACAAATAGGGTAAGGCTATGGTAGTTTTACGACACCGTGTCAAAAAAAAGTGATTTGGACCGTTGATTTTGAATTTAATAATTTAAAATTAATGATTGCATAATAATAATAAAAAATACGCATGATCGTTTTTATTAGTTAAAAAGTAAAAGTTTGGTATCAGTGCACTTAAAAATTAGATTTAAAAAATAGAGTTGATAATTATAATCATTGATTTCACTGTAAGTCTCAGTATTTATTAGGATCCACTAATTATTCAATGATTAAAATTATCAACTTTATTTTTTAAATCTAATTTTTAAGTTCACGTAATATTACTCTTCATTTCGGTTACTGTAACACTCTTCACAAGAATATAGATTAAAGGACTAGACTTTCGGTATTTAAAAATAATTTTTTGATAGCATAGTTTAGTTTTTTCATCCAATAACAAGATAACACATAAAAAGTTTCATTATTTTAATAACCAAGGGCAACGTTAAAATAGAAATCTATTTTTTTTTAAAAAAAAAAATTAAAAAATAAAAATAAAAGAAAAAGTGACAATTAATAACCTACCTGTAGCCACTGTGCGTGAACCAGTGACTTTCTTGGCATAAAAGAGTTCGGTTCACAGGGCAAGTGGGTGGTATTCACCAATGGATAATGTTGGGAGAATTGCACTTTATAGCATAAAAAATTTTAAATTCTTGATTTACACCCTCAACAATTAAATTTTTTATTTTACACCCACAACAATTAAATTTTTTATTTTACACCCTCAATGTATTAAAATAGTTGTAGTGTGACCGTTATACTAACTTCCATTGTTGTTTCTATCAAATCTTGCGGCATGCGGCACACGTAAATTTGACGGAAAACTCCATGATCCACGATTATGACTATGATGGGAAAAAAAAAAAGAGTAATGGAAATTAGAATTTCATATTTCTGACCGATCTCCAATAGGGCACACTTCAAAAAACTTGGGATGAAAAACAACACAACAACTTCTTCACAGAAATATCCTAAAACTGAATGGTCTAAACTGCCAATAATTGTTATTGATTTTGGTTTTTTGTCTTCTTCGTTTTATTATATAACTATCCAAATATGAAAATATGTTAAAGAATATCTACATGAAGTGGCAAGAAACTCGTTCATTGGGCAGCTCTCTTAAAACAATTCTACCTGAAGCATGTTAGGAAGTTATAGTCATCAACATGGTTTCCTCAATTTAATCTTAAATCTTTTTGAGACCTTCACTATTCCTTAGGTATTCTCTCTCTCTCATACATGCACAATGAGAGAGAATTTAAAAGGGTTTCTTCTTCTCCCACCAAAATCCTATTTAGAGTACATAAGAAAGATTACTGGTATATGCAGCTTCACAGACCCAACCATTCTTTACCAATAACAGATGGATTTGGATGAGGTGGGTGGTGGTAGGGGATGGTCCAACGTAACCTTAAATGGTCAAATTCATTAGGCCATTGAGCCTTGTTAATGTTTTACAAGAGTACCTTGTAAACATTCCTCCCCATCTTTTTTAATTTTCAAAATTTTTACTTATTGTATTACAAACTAATTATTAATGAACACCTAACACAGAGAAATTTGAAAGATACCCTTCTAAAACATTCTTCTCAAAATTTATCCATGGACAGTTTTTCTTAATTGCTCCAAATTACAACGATGAATAAATCTAGGACGGGATGGGATTGGATGAAGAAAAGAAATAGTGTAAAGTATGCGTATTGTACGTGACAATCACTAGTTGTTATGTACTAAACTAATTAATTTAGAAGTGTAAGAGGGGGTGCATACATTCAGTTAAAGTAGAATAATTAAATGGAGACCACTTGATGATGCAACTCATATAGCAGAAGACTATATGCCAGATCAAAATCGTTAATCGGATGCCAATCAGGGCTGATTTTGAGCGAAAGTGTCAAAAAATTTTAAAAAATCCCATTCCGGAAAGCTCTCGATGGTTTAAGTAAGACTGAAACTTTCAGCCTGTCGTTGTTAAGCCAAAAAATGACATTCAATGCATTTTTCTATTTTATCCCGCTGTTTATGGTATTTTCATAATATTACTTATTAGTTTGATTTTTCTAGTAATTTGAAACCATCAGGGTTTCATATTTATATGGTCTTATAAATTGATTCAACAACTTTGGTATTATTTGAAATAAACTAAGAGATAAATTCTCTTTTCTTCCAATTGACTTAGCATTTTTTGTGAATTAACAAGGTTCTTGAAGACTTTAATCTGATATTATTTTGATAATCAACAGGTTGAAGTTTTTGTTATGTAATCTCATTTCTTTATTCAAGCTACACTGCATCACTTAATGGGCTTCTTTAACCCTAATTATGCTCCACATTCATCAGTCTGATTGTCAATTATATACATAGAAAAGCAAAGCATAGGGATCAAATTGATAGAGTCTTACGACCATGTCTAAGGTAAGAGTCAAAGCCATTTGGTTCTTAATCATAGAGCTATTGACTGACAGTTATCGGCCTTTCCGAAATGGTTAAGTCTGGTTAAATGTACAGCAACATCAAAGCTTTTTTAGTGCATTTTTAGTATGATGGCTGGCATGCAATAGATTTGAGTAGTGATACATGACTTTCAACCACTGCATTTCTCCAGGGTGGTTGGCCTAGCCTATACATCAACAAGCTTTTAGGCCTCACCCTTTTTCATCTTTAACAAGAAATTTTTTTCAGTTGTATATCATAATTAATTCAAATAATTGCTTTAAATACAGTATTAGGAAGTAGTGATTGTGGAATCGCAATTTGCACACACAATACACCAAATTCCTTTTCATCAATTTTCATAACCTTCTTGAGCAACCCAAAAATCTTTAGTAAATTTCTAGCATTTGTGTTTACCTTGAAAAGAATTGTGATAGTGCATGGATATTAGTTTCTCTCATTTGATTCAATTTTGGGTTCAATTTGAATACCAACTTGAATTAGGTAACTTGGGTATGTGGCTTTAATTCGAGTCCAAAATATTAAAAATATTCGAGCTAAAGAGTTCAAGTTGAATTTAAATTCTCAAGTTTTACATATAGATTGGTCTCTTAATCAACACAACTCTTTCGATATAGATTGTCAAACATTTTTTTTTTTGGTTCAACAATTAGGGTGTTCAAGTCAGTTTATGCGCATCTCAATTAATCCCCTCCTCAGTCCGATTCAAAGGCAAGTCATCCATGTCAGAGTTAGAATATTCACGAGAGATAAATCTCTCATGATTTACCTTAAAAAATTACCAAAATTCAAACTCAAGACATTTGAATTTATAATTTATTTTTGTTATCACTTCAACTATCTCTAAAATACATTCACTTAGCATAATCATAATTAACACCTAAAATACATTTACTTAGCATAATCATAATTAACATAAATCATATATAATTGGTGGTCCTGCTAGGAAGCTTATGATCCACAAGCTCATGATAGGAATTCTGCAAGAACTTCCTGTCACATAGGTACACATGCTCACTGATGATGAGGACGATCATAATTTGATGTGATGAGACTTGAGAGCTTTTAATTTTTAGTGGTCCAGAAAATTGATTTTCTATTTAACTGTTTGGTTTAATCTTTTAAGCCTTTGGACCATTTCTCTTCTGTCAAAATTTATTGGCAGAAGTCTGCATCAGATCAGATGGCTGGGGGGTGTTTCAATAATTGGGCATCCATCAAAGAGTTCAACTTCAAGGTGGGCTCCATTATCATCTTGGCCCTCAAGGGATGTCTGTCATGAAACCTAATTTACAGGCTTAGCATGCACATAAAATTATCAATTGTTGTGTCGTGTTTCTAAACTGTGTATGTCGTGGTGTGTTAAATTTTTTTACCACTGATACCTGACTTATTTTAATCATCTGTAATTGTGTTCATATTATGTATAAGTGATGTTTAATCGGCTTTACACCGTGTTTAATCTGATTTGTGTCGACATTCATTTGATGGATTCAGTGAGTTTACTCAAACTTCTTAAGATTAAATTTAAATCCACTAATTATATATAGGCTTCGTTTGTGATAAGAGTTACGATCATATTGTCATGTATAAAAAATAGTATCACCG